TGACGAGAGATATTATAGATGGTATGGGAGTAACTGGGGTGGAAGGAGTTTTTAGAAGATGTTGCGAGGAAACTCTCTCTGTGATGAGAACAAATAAAGAAGCATTGCTTACAATCATTGAGGTACACGTTACTGGACGAACATAGATGCTGCTATTTCGTGAAAACGAGAAAACCAAACCATTACAGTGTGTTGTGGAATTTTATGCAGGTCTTTATCCATGATCCTTTATATAAGTGGGCTTTATCACCTCTAAAGGCTATGAGACGTCAGAAGGTATTTCAGTATTTCGTTTCTTTTTTCTGGTAGTAGAGTGTATATGATGGCACCAATCAAGATTCACTAGAAGAGACTACCTTATGTAATTGAAGGAATAATAAATCGGAACCTTCTGAAAATAACTTTTAATCCTAATGATTTACTGATTGAATTTTACCCATCTCATCAATAGATCAATATTGCAAGTCACCTTACCGCATCATTTTTGCTGAATTTAAAAGGCTAATTGAATTAATCTGTTCCCTTTCTGGACGTATTTCGAGCTCCTACCTCTATAGTAAATTTGATCACCTTCGTCATAAATCTGTTCTACTTTGTCCTGGTTGTTTTTACTTCTAAGCCTTACATACCATTTATTTATACTAGCTTCTCACATTTGCTTATTTTTTGCCCTTATCAGGATGCTTATGATGATTTGGTCGTTAGCTACGAGAATACCGGTGAAGAAGTTTATGAAGGAAACAAAGATGCAACCAGAGCCTTGTTGCGCATCAAACAGAAGTTAGATGGATATGAAGATGGCGAAATGAGAAGCGTTCATGGGCAGGTATTTTTGTATTGTTGTTATCTGCTCATCTTCATTTTTAATTAATTCCTGTTTTTTTTTTTTTTTTTTTTNNTTTTTTTTTTTTTTTTTTTATCCACTTGAAAATTGCACATTTTTCTTACTAATACGGCTTTTATAGGTTCAACAATTAATACAAGATGCAATTGATCCGGATCGATTGTGCCATATGTTTCCTGGATGGGGTGCCTGGCTGTGATGAGCTATGCTACACAGTTTTGACAGAATCTGGGACTGTAGTTTTTGTTCATGTGTATGTGTTTATTTCCTTTTTTTTGTTTTCTTTTTTTGTTTTTCGGTTAGTTTTGGAACATATTAATGGAAGTGTACAGGTGGACGTTATCTTCAGCTCGTCTATATTTTTTTTGTGGAAAACATTTTGGGAAATCAAAATGAATTTTGAGCCCTATCGTATATAAAATCAAGAAAATCATGATACTTGAGGTCATGTATTTTGGAGTGTATAGTGCTTGGAAATATATGACTGGTAAGTGTTGCTGTAACACAACTATGAAAAGTTACTATTTTCATGTGAATCCTTAGTTTGGTTTTGTTGACCCCGGCCCCTATATATATTGTTTTTTTTTTTGTTATTTAAANAATATCTTTTAATTAAAAAATGAAAAAATATGTATTTATATTTATATGATAAATATTTATTAATACTTTGATGTATAAATATTATATACAATATAGTATAAATATGTATATAAATATTATTAATAATGTATAAATTTTATATACAATGTATTTAATTTTTTTACTTTTATGTAAATTCATATGACAAAAATTCTATATATATGATTTTTTAAATTTAAATTAATTATTCGGTTCAACATATTGGCAGTTGAATCGGTGACTCGAAGATCTGAAGACCAAGTGATTTTTGGCCTGGATTTAAAAACTATAGTACATCTTATATCCAAACATTCCCTAATTCAGGGAGACTTAATTAAGTATATTGTTAATTGTTATTTTCTTAATCAAATACCCCCAGCCATACAAAATTACAATAAGTGGTTGCTCTCTTGGTAGTCGCATATAGCTGTCGTTTGAAAAAACGAGAAAGGTCCGAGAAAGGTCTTAAATTATCATAAGTGGTGGTGCTTTTGGTAATCGTAAATAGCTGTCTTAATTACAATAAGTGGTTGTTCACTTGGTAGTGGTATATGGCTGTCTTTCGAAAAACGAGAAAGTATTGTGAAGATTAAAAAGTGAAAAAATAATAAAGAATTCACGACCGTTTGAGCCAATTTTTTATGTTACAATTAATGATTTTGTCTTATTTTTTATTAAATTTACCTTTTCAAAGT